AAAAAAAAATCAGTCCAGGGTCCTGCAGATTATTCGGCTGGCTTTCCAGTGCCTTTGCCTCGGGGCCCACATTCCTCCTTTCTCACTGCAGGGTGGTGATGACCAAACTGTCAGGGGCTCATTTGTCCTTTCCCATCAGGGGACAGACTTTAAACCTAAAAATCGTAAGGAAATAGGGCTCTTGGAAGCCAAGAATCCAATTCCAATCCATAATTTTTAGCTACTGATTTTTCTATCAGCGACCTACCCACATTTCATCAGTCCTAAAATGTGTTACCCTGAAAACAGGTACACTCTCCACTAGTGTCCCTAAAACTGCCTCCAGTCTTTCTGTGGTACAACCTGCCCACACATGCAATAGCACCCCAAAACCATGTATGTCATAATTCAGTTGTTCTATTTGGAAGACTTCATCCCAAAAGCAACCTGTGCAGGAATGTTCCTATTTATAATAGGAAAACTCAGAAAAGATAACAGCCAACCATTTATTACTCTGTAATGCCAGGCACTGTACTAGTATTTCATGTACATGCTTTCATGTATTTAATTATACAACTCTATGAAACCCACTTGATAGATGGGAAAACTGATGCAGAGGTGTGCTGGTAGATCAGCTCTCCTAGGGGAAAAACAGACAAACTTGATTTTTAGCATCTGCTGACTTCCATGGTGAAACTAGCCACTGATAGCCAACTTCAAGCTACCTGTGAGTTAGCAACCAGCTCCCAAATATCCTGAAAATTTAGCAATTGGCTCAGAAGTCAAGTAGCTTGCCCAAGGTCATCGAATGATAGAGTCAGGAATCAGCAGTTTAACTTCAGAGACCAGGCTCTGACCACCTACCACTCCACAGGCCTGTCAATATCTAACAATAAGGAATGGCTAAAACAAACACCCACAAGGGATTCCTTTGACACACAGGCAACAAAGAAAAGTTTACATGATCACTAACACTAATATAAGCAATCTACAATAACCCTATGAAGTCCTACTTTAGTAAAGTTGTTCTAAATATTAAATGCAATAATTTGCAAATTTTGATGGATGGGAAACCAGCTTCAATTAAGTTTTAAGAAGGGTATTTTATTCCCACTTTGTAGACCTGTAATCTGGACAGAGAGGCTCCACAGGTAGTCAGTGGTGGAGGTGGGATTTGGATCCAGCCAACCTGCTTTCAATCCATCCTCTTAACCACAGTGTCCCTCATAAAATAGTGATACTGAGTGAAGAAAAAAAAAGATATGCACAGACTCAGTACTATGCAGAAGCGACTCCTGGATTGGGAGGCAGCAAGAAAAGTCTCTGAACTTAAGTCTGGCCAAGCTGGATTTGAAAGATTCTCCATCACCTAATTGTGACCTGGGGCAAGTTACCTAACAGCACCTGGCTTTCAGTTCCCTTCTTACTGAAGTGGGGAGAACAATGCCTATCTCAACGGGTGGCCCTAAGGGTGAACAGAGAATTCATAGAACAATGTGACCACAGATCCGGGACCACATTAAGTGCTCAAAGGGGCATAGCTATTATTACGAACAAAAAACGTAAGATGGTTGGAATCAAGGGCATGCTTTCATCTTCTCTGTGGGTTCTTGGTCCCACTGAGTTGCTCCGAATTGTGGCTAACGCTGGTCCAGAGTGACAGTCAAGCCGAACCCTAAGTAAAGTCGGCTCTTCCCTGGCGCGAATTGCAGATGCGCCCTTCACCTTGTGTTCACCCTCCTTCTCCGCCCCACATTTCAGCGCCGCAGCGCAGAAAAGAAGGTGCTGGCTGCCCAGTCGGATACCCGGAATCCAGGCGTGCCTTTCCTGGGTGCCATGTGGGCATCATTCGCAGAAACGCCAGCAGCAGATGCGGAGAACTCCA